ATAGTAATAAATATATTGTATTAAATCAAGTTTGCATAACTTCAGATATCTAAATTTGTTTTCTTGTAGGAAAGCAGAATCTTTATTCTATAATGCAATCAGAATCATGTGCTGCATAAATTAGTTAACTAATGTGGTTGTGATACTCTTTCTAAAGACTGTACAGTCCTGGCCAGGATGGCATATAACAAAACAATTTGCCAAAAAAAACAAAAATGACAGGACAAGTGTGACCATAAAGGTCTGCCCCATCATATGACAGCTAACTAATAAACTTCTTTATTTATATCCCTAGATTTCATGCTTGGTAAACGAGAATGCCTGATTAAACCGCTTCCTGCTCCTCCTCCAATCTCTTCAAAGGTATTTATTTTGCTGTGCTGTGCTGTAACCAATATTTTTCACATGTATATTTTGTTAGCTGGGTTAACATTAGTTAAAAATGTATATTTTTGCTTTCTTATAAATCTTTTTCTTTTCAAACTGTTAGGTTCTTCCAAACCTTGAGGACTGCTTGCCACCTTGCTCAACAAACAAAACTGATTTTGTTAATCACAAGAATCATATTAGGGAAATTGGCCAGGTAATTTCATTTAAGACCATAGAGCAGGTTTCAATTGAGTGTCCTAAAACCAAAACCAAAGTAATCACTCTAGCCAATCACAAAAGACACGGACAATCCAGTGAACCAATCAAAACTGGAAGTAATTACATGTATGTGACGCAAAGCATGGGGAAAAGAGTGCGAGTGAGTCAGAAATCAGGTTTTGGTTTTACTTCTGATTGGATGAAAAGTGGCGTGAATTTTTTAAGCCAACTGTGTAGCCTAGTTGATGCAGAACCAATTACTTTCCGACAATCAAACGAAAACTGCTCTGTAACTTAGAAAGTTTTAGAATACGATGGAGGTTTGTAATATATTTCAAATGTTTAAAACTCAAGATGAAGAGAGACATAATGAAAGATTTTGTTTTTCAGGGCAGAGCTGCTGACACTAAATTCAATAGGGTATGTATCCTTTGGAATTTTACTTTAAAATGTTTCGTGGCCAGAAAAACTCAAATGTTGGTCAATGCTAGACTTTTTTTTTCTTCCTCATCTCCAGGATCGTCATAATACTCCAGCTGTTGTTTTAGCATGTAATGCCATGCGTCATCCTGGTGACAGACAGGCATCAAGTAAGTGGTTTAGGAAGACAGTGAAGTACAAATCAACCCAATTTATGCTTTATTTGAAAACCTGTCTTTTTAATAAATGGGATATAATTAATAATATTTTCATTATGTCTGATCTGATATGTCATCAGATCAAACCTTTGTTATTGAAAGAAGTAAAATTATGTAAAAATGTAAGAAAAAAAAAAAATAATAATAATAATAAGAAGAATTATCTGTTTTTGTTTAAACATAATTTTTAATCCATGTGCCTCTGGTTCTCTAGTGACAGGGGCTGACTACCTACCTCCACCAAAGGGTGTTCCTTACTTGAGCCCCCAGAAGGAACCCAAAAGTAGATATCGATATCTGGACAGTGATGGGGCCCTCCTAAGGACACCACTATGGCCCTTACCTTCTGAGACTAAGGTATGATTCTATTTTGCTTGAATTTTTCTGTCGTGCTTACTTGTAACACTACTGATTTATAGGTGAAGGGCAATGATTTCTGAACCTCTATTTAAAATTCCTTCTGTCTAACATAAATTTCCGAAAGTAACGAGCCCCGTGAGGTCAAAATATTGTGGTCGCTATTAAATCCCGAAAGTAGCGACCCCCCGAAAGTAGCGAACCCACCCCCAACCACACCTCCTCCCTGAAAATAGTGAGACCTAGATTCAACATGTTCAATAGCATATTAATTTTTTTCGGGTGAAAGTTACGTATAGTAACATTTTCAGCGGGAGCGCATTAAAAGGAATGTTTCTTCAAACTAAAATTGAAATCTCGACCAGTGCACCGAGATATTGTTACAGCAAACTAACGTAGCAGTGCGTCATGAAGTACAAACAGTACTTCAGTACTACAGTAGCTAACTTTCCTCTTAACTACTGACAACACGGTCTAGACATGAAGAGCTCACGATCACCCATGTGGCAGCAATGGAGATTTAAACTGGAAGAAGAGTCAAGTTCTACCAACTTTATATAATGTTTTTTGCTCCCCGAAAGTAACGACCCCTCGAAAGTAACGAGCCCCAAAGGCTGCTAATTGCGCCACGAGGGTAGCTACTTTCGGAAGTTTACGGTATTTTTTTTTTTTTAAATCAGGAGGAGTTTATTCCTATTGAAGAGCTGGTGACTGGTGATTCAACATCCAAGCTTCAAGAGAAGAAAGCAGATTGCAAGAAGAGAATTCAAGATAACAGGAGCACTCATTTTCAGTTTGGTTCAGATGAGGAGCCCAAGCACACTGAACAGGTGCAAAAATTCAGGAGCAATACTAATAATCATGCAGGGACATTTTTGCAAATGAGCGTTTTCGAACCGACATCTATTACTTCCCTTGATAGAAAAAACTCCTGTTTCGTTAAATTATAGCCACTTCCACCCTCCCAATCAGTGGGAGTTTTAGCAAACCACGACGGCGACGCCAACGAGAACGTAGCCAAACAAAAGTTTAATCAGCAGAACAATGGTCCTGCACGTGCGTTTTGAATCTTTGTACATTTCTTTGCCGTCTTCTGCAAAACACCAACGTGAAATGTCAAAGTCGTACGTATTTTAGAGAACGTGAACCGCAATGGCAAAATTTTTCGTGTCTTCCTTTGGAAGTGAACGCTGTCATTACATATTTAGCCTGAGCAAGTTTTTAGACCGATAGGCGAACTGAAAAGATCTACACAGTTGCGACATTTGAGAGTAAAATATGAACACTTTTTCTTTCAAGGCGTCGTCCTCGGCGTCGCCGTCG